AGCTGATTTAAATAAAGGACATTCAATGAAAAAATGATACGAATTTTCATATGGGCTGCCACATCTGTCATCATATCTTAATTTTGTATGTATTATGTTAATTTTCCTTAAACCATATGAGAAATATGAGCGAACTGTTGGACTATCTGTTCTTAAACTGGATTTAAATCAAGGGAATGTGAATTCCTGAATAGGTAATGTATTCCACAATTTGATAGCGGATGGTATACACGAGGATTCAGATAACTTAGTTCGTAATAGAGGCATAGTTATATTGTGAGCGGTTCTAAGGTTGTATGTTATGTTTGTCCCGACAGAGAGAGGTACAAGATCTTTAAGGTATGAAGGTGTCATGTTATTATACATTTTATAGAATAAACACAATTAACGTTTTCTCCTGCGCTCTGATAGGGGCTCCCAGGAAGTTTCGAAATATAAATTTTTGACGGAAGTATAGGTTGGTAAACCAGTTATAATTCTTGCTGCTTCCAGTTGGAGTTTTTCTAATCTGTCACTCTGCTCCTTGGTACAACCGTCCCAAACTTCACATGCATATTCAAAATGTGGTTTAATAAACATTACATAAATCTTATTCAACACACTACGACAGAGCATATACTTAAGCTTTCTCATTGAATGAATCATCTTTGATGTTGTTTTAAGAATTGAATCAATATGACATGATCACTGGCCTGATGACGACAATATTACATCCAGGTGTTTGTAAGTTTTAACATTTTCAATGTTTTGATTATACAAAAATAATTTTAAGAGAATGTATGGATGTCAACTTCTTTGATATGAGGAACACATCTTTTCGGAGTATATTGTTACTCCGTCAGCAAGTTGTTGTTACCACCTTTCATAACAGGTTCATGTATATCGCTGCTCTGCTTCATAGAATTAAATTCACCTGATGAAGTAGTAAGTATATACTCAGAAACGTTGTGTTCCTCACAATAAAGTAGTTGACATCCATAAATACTCGTCCTTATGTGTATCATTTCTAAATGCCATTCAAAGCCTATATCATTATTTTGAGGCATGACGATTGTTCCTATACATACCGGCAGACATGTCAAAATGTGTGTATTGTTTAACGCCGCACTGAGAAATATCCAAACAATATGGATTGGCAAAGACCAGTCGAGGTAAGATGACACGTGGAGGTAAGATGACACGTGGAGGTAAGATGACACGTAGAGGTAAGATGACACGTCGAGGTAAGATGACACGTCGAGGTAAGATGACACGTCGAGGTAAGATGACACGT